ACACTATTCTTTAATCGGAAAATTTTCTGGCATTCCTTGCAATTGTGAATATATAGGAATGTTCTTTGTCAATTATAAACTGCTATAAATGTTGGTTGATTGCTTCATTTGGAGGAAATTGCTTATCTGTGTTCATTGCAGCCTGTCAACAAATACTAAGAACTGGGGAGGTGCAAAGCCTGTGTTCTGGCGTCTGTTTGTATATGTTAAAGAATAAACATAGTCCCTGCTTCAGCTCCCAGATTCCACTTGAAATTGTGTAAACAGGCAGTATGGCACTCCAGAAGAGAAACACTTTACTGTTAGTGTTCTTCTATGGTCTCAGACAAGGTGGTCATGGCTATTGCCATTGTGATTATAAGCTGAAATAGATTTTGTCTTGTTTTGGAATCATCTTACTATTTTTGTGTAGGGTGCTTTTTGTTATGTTTTAGGTGCCAACACAATATGCTGTGCAGAGTTCAAATACATAATGTAGAGAGGTTGTGCCTGTCCCCAAAGACTTGGTGTGCTGAAGGAGAAATACCAGAAGTAAAAGTAAGCTTTTGATAATTAATCTAACTTCTAGGGGTTTTAAAAGAGAATCTGTGACATTTGGGAAACTTTGCATGTTGAATGATAGTAGAAATTTAGATGACTTCAGGCCCTTGGCCTTCTAAGAGTAATATTATCTACTGTTCACCTTTTCTTCTCAATGAACATTACAGGAAATTTACTTCTGTTAGTCAATTTCAGCTGGTCTTTCCTTTTGTTGGAGCTCAGGACAGGATACCCCCAATATGGTACCTTGGCATATAAGAGAAACTGCAGAAGAAAGGAGGACCCTCTGCCTCCTCCTGCCTTTCTCCCCTGAAGCATGGTTATGAAGAAATTCTCTGACCTATCTCACCTGACAGTGAGTTATAAGACTCTCATTCCAGTGAGGTCTTGCCCTGTACCCAGAGGATAGGAAGAATCTGGACAGGCAGGCCTTGCTAAGGTCCCCAACTTCAATTATTATTAGGCCTCATTCCATTTGTTCTTCATTGTACCTAAGCCTAAAAATAGTTTCCTGGGTCTCTGCATTCTCAATTCTGAAGGCATTCTTGTGTCATGCAAAACTTTGGTTGAGTAAATTTGTTATGCCTTTCTCTTGTTAATCTGTCTTGTTATAGGGGTGTCAGCCATGAACCTTGCCATGGGTGAGGAAAATATATCTTTTCTCCCCTACACTCTCTTCCTCAAAAGTATGTAGTGGGAAGAAATGACATCTGATGCTCTTCACTTTTTCAAAGGCTTAAGTGTTTGAGTCCAGTGGTACATTTGTTCTACTTGCTGTCATAGAGGCTAAGGTTTAATGGGGCAGAACTTGAGGGATTCTGTTTGGTTGGTATCTGAGTTATACCTGTGCCTTTGGTCTATATCTAAAGTAGGCTGGGTGCAGTGGTTCACACCTGTCATCCCAGCACTTTGGGAAGCCAAGGTGGGCAGATCACCTGAGGTCAGGAGTTTGAGACCAGCCTGGCCAAGATGGTGAAACCCCCTCTCTACTAAAAATACAAAAATTAGCCGGGTGTGGTGGTGGGTGCCTGTAATCCCAGCTACTTGGGAGGCTGAGGCAAGAAAACTGCTTGAACTCAGGAGGTGGAGGTTGTAGTGAGTCGAAATTGTGCCCCTGCACTCTGCTCCAGCCTGGGTAATAGAGTAAGACTCCATCTCAAAAAAAAAAAAAAAAAAAAAAAAAAAAAAAAAAAAAAAAAATACACAGTAAAAAAGAATACTATTTATTATGTTTTATCCTATGATGCTTGTCCATAGGTACTTCCATTACCACACAGTGTGTTGGGCTTGTCATTTAATCTGCTGAGTCTGAATTATTGTGTCAGAAAGGCTGGTTTGCTTCATTTCGATTTGGTTTATGTCCATGACAGCTCAGTATTCACCCTTTAATGGAAAAAATGACAATAGTTGAAGTTGCTGCAGAAGGAGAAGTGTGATGATGCAGAAGAGGAGAGCCTGCTGGCTGCCTACAGAGGTGGACTTCACAGTGCCATTTCCATTGAGGAATTTACCACTGTTTTCCCTTTGGTCCTCAGAAATTCAACATTCTCCATGTCTTATATGGATGGGACTGGACAAAGTGACTCCTTTTAATAAAGCAAAGTTCATGAGAGCTTTCGTTTAAAGCTGGAGTACCGGTTTATTAATTTACTCGGAGAATTGGATCTGTCAGCAAGCCAGACGGTTGTCAGAACTGGACCAGCATACTCTCTCCCCACTGTTTACAGACTAAGAAAGGAGCCAAATTATGAGGTGCTTCTCAGTATGAACAGAACAAGGAGAAGTAGTCATATCATGTCAATGTGTAATAGCACCCAGCTCCAACAGACCAGTGTCCCCATTTCCAGAATTGGATGTGGGGTGTGTGTTTATAAGTCTGCAGATACTGTCCAGCATGCTGGATAGTCTTCTCTGGAGTGTACTGTCATCATTGGCCCCTATGGCCTATTCCTATTCATGCTATTTCCGACCATCCCCCTTTTGGTGGGCATAGCCTGTCTGTCCATTGGTGACTATCAAGTTCCAGTTATGGGTTTTAGGCCAGAGATGATTGAGACTTCCACATGACTTTGTATAGCTCTACTCTGACCTGTGTTAATTTCAGAATTTAACTTGCTGGGAAGACTTACTTTTTTCCTTTCTAGTCTCAGGGAGGGAAGGATGGTTCTTTATTTTTGCACTCAGGTATAATCAGTTAAAGTTTCTCCACGTTGCAGTTTGAATAGCTCTTTTTTAGAATATAAAATTTAAGCTGTTTCTCTCGAGTTGCTATTTATGGAGGAAAACAGGAACTGGAAGAAAAAATTACAGTAGATATTTGATAGCCTCTTTCACTTAAGACCACTGATGGGGAAGGTATGGCTGTCCTGAAAATAGCTGAGTGCCCCAAAATAGGAAAACAGGGTGTCTGGGATGAGATACCAAAGTCAGTGTTACCTAGTCCTTGCCCCATAGGATGCCAGTTCTGAGTGGCATGGTAGGTCTGCTGCCAACTGGTGATGACCTGAATGATTGATCAGGAGCAGCTTCATGGACGTTGTAGGGCCTGAGCTGGTCAGTGATCCAGGTAAACACACGGCTCTAGAAGAGTTCACGAAGGCTGGTGCCAGGGACCTTGAACAAGCTTTGGTGGCATGGCTCCATCAATATTTCTCTTATTTTTTAAGTAGATTGTTTTTGCTAAATTATAAACCCCAAAGATTGGTTGGTTGAAGATGTCTGTGTTTACCAGGCATCTATTGATGATTGTTTTTCTGCCATTTTTTATACTACAGTATTTTTTATTGTTTCCCTGAAGTGTGATTTTTAAGAGGAGTTTGTGTTTTCCATCGTTTCCTTATGGAAACGATTACTCCCTTCCAGTTTTAGTGTTTGTTCTTTAGGTGAAACCTAAATCTTTTCACCACAGTTGATTCAAGCAGCATTTTCAAAAAGAGAATTAGGCTCTAAGCCATGCCCCTTCAGTATGTAAAAACTTGTGTGTGAGATGATTTTACTCTGCTAACCTTCAGTATGGCCTTTTCCAAATTCTGCCTAAGATACTATCTTTCTAATATCACACAGTTTTGTTTGTTGTTACTCAAAGCTGTCAGTGATCTGTGAGGAGAGGCCAGCCTGGTGGAGGGGGAGGAAGGTGGTCCTGCTGGGCTGCTGCAGATTTGAATTCTGGCCCTGCTGTTAACTAGCTGCGTGACCCCTGGCAAGCCAGCCTCCCTGGGTCTCTTGTTTCTTGATCAGTAAAAGGGCTTGAGAAAACAATACAGGCTTGGACCAAATGATAAGAAAGGTCACCCTGTGTGCTTATGTTGTGTGACTCTGTGAATGGCAACACATTGGGGTTCCTTAGACTTCTCAGTGGGTCCCACAAAACTTGCTTACTCTGGGGGCTGAGAGATGGTGTGTGGTGTTACACTGAGGTCATTTGAAGCATTTGCGCTAAGTAGGCAGATTTGGGAGCACTCCTACATAGGAGTTTCTCCCTCCTTGCCTCCCCTCCCCTTCCCCTTCCCCATCCTCATTTCTCCCCCGCCCCCTTGCCTGTTAAAGAGAGACCTGCTTGCCTCCTGCTTCCCTCTTAGTGCACTAATAAAGGTGTGATGGGTAACACAACCCACTAAGATTGGTTACTGTCTGGGGTTGTTAAGTAATCTCATCTGAGTTACTAGTGCGGAGAGAGGGAGCTTAAAGGAGACTGGCTTCATGATGAAATAATGGTCCTTTTGTCTTCTCTTGCTGTGGAGATGGTTTCGTGTTTCATCTTAGGCCTGGGCCGTTGTGGTGTTTTTACAAGCTCAGTACAACACTGCTTAAAGATACAGCTCCTTTAAAGGATTTGGCCATAATGCCACAGGCCTATTCTACTTACCCACCACCCAAAGTTATAACTATATATAGTAAAAACCCACTGTAGTGTGTGCTGTTTAATTGGGTTCCCTGATCAGGGTTAAAATGTGTTCCCTCTGTATTTATTTTGCAAATGTTTGTAAGGTATGCCTCATTTCATAACCTTCCAAAATGTTTTCCTTGTGATTACATAATTAGTAACACCTGTAAAACATTGCCTTTAACCAGTAGCTTCTTTCATTATCTTTTTGATTCCGTGTTCTAGTGCCTTTTGATGAACTGGGGCTGGGAAGCGGTGCCAAATATCTTGGAGAACTGTACCCAGGTTTAGCCTCATAACCTTAATTAGATGTGGAATGCTGAGAATGCACTATTGTATGTTTCTTTAGCTTTTCTAACAACAGTGAACTTGTGATCACTTCATTAAAAGTTTTAGAACATTCCTTGTGTCTTCAGCATTTAGTTTCCCATCATAGTTTATTCATAGAAAATTAATGTAAAACTCAAGGTACCTTAAGCGCTCTGTTTGAAAACAGGTTACCTCTTTTGTCAATGCACAAGTTATATTCCAACTTCCAATGTTTAATTCCTCTTCTCTCTGCTCCTGTTCTCTTTAGAAACAAGAGTGTTGAAAATGTTAAAGGCTGTGCTGAAGAAAAGCCGAGAGGGAGGAAAGGGAGGCAAGAAGGAAGCAGGTATGTGTGCAAGAAGGAGTCCAGCCATGGACAGTGGGCAGCAAGCTTCCCCTCACTCCAGGTTGGGTGGATTTGTTGCTTTGGGAGTGGGTCAGAGAGGGTTACCTGGGTTAAAACAAACAGTATGCTGGAGGCTATGAGAAATGAAATAGGCCAGGCATGGTGGCCCACACCTGTAATCCCAACATTTTGAGAGGCCAAGGCAGGAGGATTGCTTGAGGCCAGGAGTTGAAGACAAGCCTGGGCAACATAAGGAGACAACTTGCCTCTACAAAAAAAAAAAGAAAAAAAATTTAAAAAAATTAGTCGGGTGTGATGGCCCATGCACGTAAATCCTAGCTACTTGGGAGGCTCTGGCAGGAGAATCTCTTGAGCCCAGGAGTTCGAGGCTTCCGTGAGCTGTGATAATGTCACTGTACTCCAGCCTGGGCAACAGAGCCAGACCCTGTCTCTTAAAAAAGAAAAAGGAGAGGAAACATAATTTTGAGCTTTCTTATGAGAAGTGACTTTGAGAATTGAGTTTGGGTTATAACCAAATCCTTTCCCAGAGACTTTAAAGGTTCATAATTTTGATAAAGACATTGAGGGATAGCAGGTGTGTTCAGGAATTTGGTTTCTAGAAAGCTCATTCACTTTCCCACATGTGATTACATTTTATATGTTTGACCAACTGCTGGCTGACTAGTCCTCATCTTTTGGAGTATCAAATTTTACTCGTAACAGGTGGAGTCCCGCTTAATGCCGGACTGCTTGTTTTCATTATGATGAGAACTACTTAATTTGGCTTAAATTTCATTCTTGTTTGTAGAGTTTTGGTGCATATTGTCATTGTGACTCGATTATCATTACATTCCATGTGATAACCTACTCTAAGATATTTTGGTGAACTCTCACTGTTACACCCTTTTTCTCTTGCAGAAAAACTATATATTGTCTACCTGTGTTGTACAATAAAAATAGGTTAGCATGAATTGACTTGCCTGAAATGTTGCATTTCACTCTGTAAACTCATGTTAATCCAGTCTCCTTGGAGAATGACTGGTTTTCTGAGTTACTATGTCAAATAATGTTTCAGTTTTAATTTCTGTTTTAAGAAGTATGCCTATTACTGAAGCATCACAAAATTATGGTTAACTCTTTAATTCAAAGGATCTTGCAGTGCCTTAGGATAATCTTAATGTCTGTTGTTTCCATCATTATCTAAGAGAAGAAGTGGATTTCTAAAATTTTTGGTTATATAGAACCTAGACACAATTTCTATTTATTGATAATTATACCTTAAGCCAAGTGTGCAAAATGACAAACTCACCTTAAAAGTTGAGCCTTTATTGCAAGGCTGCTGTTAAAGCTTCTCATCGGTGCCTGGGTAAGCAGACACTGATGAAAAGGAGAAACTAGTTTTTAATTACATCAGCAGGAGACCATAGTTAACCTTAGAAAATCAACCCCTGGCTTTGAATAATTAATTAGAATTGTTACTGTGGAGAAATTTCAGTTCACAGGACTTCTATCCAGGGGGACATTCACCCTCTGCTGGGTGAAGGCCAAAATGTCTTTCTTGTTAGTTTTCTGAAAGCTGTTTAAAAATAATAACAAAAAACTTTTTTCAGTTTTGGCTCATATGACACCAGTCATAGGAACTGTGTTATTTGCTTCTTTAGAAGTCTTTGTAATTTCCAGCATAAATTTAGATCTTAAGTTGTCTGTTGGGTTGGAACTGCCAACCAGTGTGTTATTTTTCTCAGGACTAGGGTCCCCAAGCCTAAGCTCCCTAGTCAGTAACAGTTCTTCAAAACAGGCCTACCATCTTCTTTGACCAGTGCCAGGCTTAGGAGAAATAGCAATATATTAATGATCTTCAGCACCTGTGTCTTTCAGACACACCAGACAGGAATAATAGTTTGCATTTGAAACTTTTCCAATTTAAGAGCCTGTGATTTTGGGTTTATTTCTCCCTTTGGTCTTTAAAAGCAACTACTGCTTTTTCTGAATAATTTCTTCATAATAATTTCCACATTATGGCTTTTTCACTAATACAAACCAACTTGAAAGAGCGATGGGAACGTTTCCCATAAAACATCTGCATGGTATGTGCCTTTTTGCTTTTAACTAGAACCTGGTTGTATTAGGCTAGCAACAAAGCGGATGGAATTTAAAATCCTGATGAAGTTATGTCACAGGATGGTTGGAGGAATTACTTGGAATTTGGCCACTCATATGTTGAGTCCATGCCAGCTCTCATTATATAAGTAAATCATAGCTAAGTTTTTCTATAAATTAAAGCCGGCTAATCTACCAAGACTGCGCTGAAACTTGGGTAATAATATCTCCTGCAATATGGAAAAATTTTGCTGCACTGTTTCCAATTAAAACCCATTTTTGTTGTAAAGATGAAAGTCATTCCCATATACTTGAACTCATAACCATAGAGATTTAGGAAACATGTCTAAAAACTTGAGTTCAGCTTTTCATGTCCTTTGCAAGTTGTTTTTGCAGGCAGTCTTTTACTACTCTTTTATGTTAAACCTGCTTTGAGAATTTGGAAAATGCAGTAACTGAGATAAACTTTGTATTCTTCAGTGGAAACCAAATATTTTTCAGAAGTATTGAACAGTTCTTATTCCCTCAATTATCCCTAAAAAGAAGTTATCACATGTATCTATAGGTAAAATTGTAGCAAATACTGAATTCCAGCTATATGTATATAAGGATATTTGCAATAGTATGTTTGTTGTTGTTTTTTTCTTTCTTTTGAGAGCCTTGCTCTGTTGACCAGGCTGGAGTGTAGTTGCGTACCATCTTGCCTCACTGCAACCTCTGCCTCTTGGGTTTAAACAATTCTCTGCCTCAGCCTCCCTGTGCTGGGATTACAGGGGCATGCCACCACACCCAGCTAATTTTTGTATCTTTGGTAGAGATAGGGTTTCCCCATGTTGGCCAGGCTGGTCTTGAACTCCTGACCTCAAGTGATCCACCCAACCTCGGCCTCGCAAAGTGCTAGGATTACGGGCGTGAGCCACTATGCCCAGTGGATATTTGCAATATTATGTACGGTGAAACTTAGACTATTGAAAAATCATCAAGTGAACTCAAAATAATTAGCAGAATTTTTTATTTTTGGATTATGCATTTTTACCTAGGAAATGCTTATAGCTGGGCAAAAAGTAGAGGGTATAGAGGCATACTGGAAAATGGAATTTTTAAAATTTTTCCATTTGTTTTTCAGAAAGCATATTCACCTTGTTCCTGCTGTTCCATCAGTGCAAATAAGCACTTGACCTTGAGTTTGGCCTAAGGGAGCAAAAATCAGTGTTAAACCATAATATAGGAAGAAGGCCAGATGAGGACATCTTATTTTTTTTTTTCCTTTCTCTGCTTTATGTTAGGACTTTGATCTAAAAAAAGCAGAGAAGACACTGTGTTTATTTTGAGGCTCTCCAGAGAGGCCTACAACCTTTACCACATGTTTCTTAATTTTAAGTGACCTTTACTATCAGAAAATATTCATGTTACTATTATTACACAGTTACTTAGCTTAAAAATTAAGTAATTACTAGACTCTTAAGATTGAGAGTATTCTCATATTAAATCTGGACCTAGTAGGAGTTTACAGTGGATTTAAGAGCCACACAGGAAGTTAATATCTTTTCTGTACAGCAACACTGTTTGTAAAAATGAATAGGGAAAAGAAAATCCCTCTTTACGGATAGCAACAAAATTTTATCAACCTAAAAAGAAATGTGCAAGTCTTTTTTTTTTTTTTATTTTTTTATTTTTTTTAAAGATGGCTTTGCTCTATCACCCAGGCTGGAGTGCAGTGGCACAATCTCGGCTTACTGTATCCTTGACCTTCTAAGGCTCAGGTAATCCTCTCACCTCAGCCTCCTGAGTAGCTACCATGCTACCATTCCTGGATAAATTTTGTGGTGTTCGTTGTTGTTTTTAAGAGAGTCAGGGTTTTCACCATGTTGCCCAGGCTGATCTCAAACTCCTGGGCCCATGTGATGCACTCACCTCAGCCTCCCAAAGTGCTGGGATTACAAGCGTGAGCCACTGTGACCATCTGTGCAAACCTCACGTTAAAGAAAATGATAAAACTTTGTTGAAGGACTTAAGGGAAGACCTGAATAAGTGGAAAGAAATACTGTTTTCCTGAAGAAGCTGATCCATTATTTTAAACCAACTAGCTCTTTCATAATCATGTAGACATTACATTTAATCCCAAATGAAATCCCCAATTTTTAAAGAGGACTTTTTGTTTAAAGAGTGGTTTTAGGTCCACAGCCAAAATTGGAGGAAGGTTCAGAGATTTGCCCTCACACATGCATAGCTTCCACCATAATCAACATTCTTCACCAGAGGTGTGCATTTGTTACAACTGATGAACCTACACTGACACATCGTTATCACCCAAAGTCCATAGTTAACATCAGGTTCACTCTTGATATTGTATATTCTGTGGGTTTGAACAAATGTATAATGACATACCTACCATTGTTATATCACAGAGTAGTTTCATGGCCCAAGAAATCCTGTGTGTGTTTTTTTTTAAACACTATAAAATTTGAAAAATCCATCTGGAAGTGAAAGTGCTTAAAGAAAAATCAAGGACAATTTGAAAATGTGAGGCAGGTGCATGGAAATGGCCGAGCCTGGTTCACATACCTCTGTTTTAGCTGCATGAGAGCCTGGAAGAGTGTGTTTGGACTTCTTGGCTAAGATTTGTGCAAGGTGGACTTGACCTTCTACCACCATATGCATTGTGGAGGATTCTTCAGTCATAGACATTGGGCGGGTTCCCTCCCCTTCAAAAACTAAGGAAGCACAGATATCTAATTACTGCTCATTGTGGTAGTTGTTACTGCCACATAGCAAGTAAATGGCTCAGCTAATATTTTTTTCTTCTACTGGTCTCCAAGAAATGAGACATAATTTGATGTTACATCTATGATGTAATTAAAGTTCACAGTTGGTAGTGTTTTTGTTTTTTCTTTAAACCC